CGGGCTGCGCCCTGCAGGTCCAGCTGAGCCCCACAGCTCTCTGGCGGCCAGCTCATCCCCACTGCCTGCTCCCCAGGAGCGGGTGGCTGCCCTGGACGCCCAGGCTGCCCAGATCCTGCTGCAGAGCGCCCAGGAGGCCGAGCGCCTGGCCAGGGAGAGGAACGGCGTCCTGCAGCTCCTACAGAAGGTAATGCAGGGATCGGGGGGTCGACATGTGCTCCCCGACCCTGGGGGTGCCTGAGGCAGGGGACAAGATTGTGCTGGCTCTTGCCGAGGTGCTGACAGTTGGAGTGAGTTTGGGGGGGACTGGTCGCGGGGTGCCAGTAACCACCAGCTGCCTCTGCTCTCGCTGTCGCCCCGCGCTCAGGAGAAGGAGAAGCTCGTGTCTCTGGAGAGGCGATACCAGCTCCTCACAGGCGGCAGGAGCTTCCCCAAAATGTCCTCAGCTCTCAGAGAGGTAAGTGGAGAGAGGGGGGTATGGTCCCTAGGGCTGCTCTCCTGCCGCCCTGAGCCGCTGTCTCCAGCAGGGACAAGCCTGGTGCACCACAAGCTCTGCTCTGCAGCGGCTCCTGTGCTCCCAAGCACCTTCTGGTTGGAGTCGGGTGCTCCCGGCTGCTCAGAGCCTCTCTGTGGGCTGTAGAGAGCATTGCCAGGTTGGGAGGGAGGGAAACGCAACAGAGCTGGGCTTGGAAGCAGCAGCATCTCACCTGCCAGGCTGCTCGGGTGCTGCAGGAGCCCAGCAGCAGTCCAGGCTTTTAACAGGCAGCTCGGCGAGGGCTGCGAGTGCCCATGAGGGAAGGGCTCAGCATGGCTGCGGCGCACCTGGGGCAGGCACTGCCTGGGGTCCCGTCCTTGCCAGAGAAGCAAGTGTGGGGCTGTCTTGGTGCCAGTACAGGGGACCCCTTCCAATTCATGTCCAAAGGCTTTTAGGTGTTAGTGGGTCGCCCCATTGCCCTGCTCGTGGCTCTGAGTGGGGAGCCAGAGCCATGATGCCCTCGGGGACCGTGGTACCACCCGACCCGCTGCTGCAGAGGGGCAGGATGGCAGAGTCCCCTTGCGCCTGCCCGCAATGGGGCTCCTCCTGCTGCCACCTTGCTGCCTGTGCCCGCCTTGCCTATGTGATCTTTACCCTCCAACAGGAGACCCTCCATATCTCAGAGCCTTATGAGCTGTTGGAGGGAACTAAGCCCCTGAGCCCCCTGCCAGCAGCAGCTGCTTCCTTAGCTTCTCCTGCCGCCCGCTCCTACCCCAAGGCACAAGAGGTAACGGGACTAACTGCACGTGCTTGCTCGCTTGCCCCGTCCTTGGCTGAGCCACCACCAGACCCCTTACCGCGGACTAACGTCGCCTTCGGGCAGCAGGGCATCCCCACAGCAGCACGCTGAGATGGCACGGCTGGGGCATTTCTCATTTAGCTCTCCAGCGGCTGTGCTCATTAACACTCAGATCCTGATTTCAAGTGCTCTGCTGAGCCCGCCAGGCATCCCGGCTGCCGCCCTCGGTTTTAACCCTGGCATGGCGCCGTGTGCCACAGGCATCCCTCCGCTTCCCCCTTGCCCGCCACTTACCCGCTGGCTGGGCACCTCCTGACAGCATCCTTTAGGGTCGTGCTAGCCTGCCTTCCCCAAAAAAAAGAGCAAATCCACGGCTTTAGCATGTTTGGTTCAGAAAGGGTGAGGAAGCGGAATTTAAGTTGGCTCGGAGCAGCTCGAGGTGCCTCATCCGGTGCTGTCGCACTGGGGAGGGCTTGTGGCCGGAGGCCCCGGGGGACCCCAAGATCTGGGTGATGGGAACAGCTGAAGGCGCCTGGGGCCTCGGCAGGGCAGGTTGCAGTACTCCGCCCCCAGCCTGCACCCAGCAAAGCTGCAGCTAAGGCAGGAGCGAGGCGGTGTGTTGGGACGCCCAGCTTGGGCACCCCGCTCCCCATCCCATGCGGTGCACCGAGGCAGCCGCAGGCAGGGAGGGCAGCAAGGAAGGGAAGGGCTGGGCAGGTGGTGGTGGGGCACGCGCGCGCGGGGAGATTTGCTCCAGCTTTGCAGTCAGCGCCATGATGCCAGTGCATGGGTCTAACTCTCCTCCTTCTCCTCCGCCGTGGATTTCTAGGAGTACATGAGGCTGTCTGACGTTTTCAGGTTCTGCAGCAATGCGCACGGCCCCAGCCCGGACACTAAAGCTTCTGCTGCTGCCCCTGCTGCCGCTCAGCGCTCTTTCTTGCTTGCTGTACCTCCCGCAGCTGACGAGGTACCCGCTCCAGAGCATGCTCGGGTTTGCTCTCTTGGGTTGCCCGCTGCATCCCGGGCAGCGAGGATGCTGCAGACCACGTGGCCTCCCCGTGTGCCCTGGTGCTTGGAACCCACCTCTCTCTTGGGCTGGGGGACTTGTCCAGCTGCAGCTGAGCAGGGAGCAGAGGCTGGAGCTGCCCGGTCTTGCCAGGGAGTGCTTCTCGCCTGCTCCAGATGGGCTTTGCCCTCTGGGGCAGTGGCAGCGGCACTGGGGAGTAGAGTGGGTGACCAGCGGGGTGGGAGGGCGGCCTTTTGCCTGTTGGACCCAGTCCTGGCCGCCAGTCCCAGGCAAGGAGGATGCAGAGCAGGCGGGGACCTGACCCAGTGCCCAGCACCGGGGCGGCAGGCAGCACCATCTGGCCTTCCTCCTGGGGACATGGCATCCTCTTTTGGGAGCTGGAGCCACCTGCTCATTCCCCTGTGCCTGCTTGCCCTTGCTTGGAGCCTCTTCTCCTGGTTTAATCTGCTTCTCTCTGCCCAGTACGTGACCGTTGAGCAGCTCTCGGGCATCCTGGGTGGCCTCCACGCCCCTGCTTCCCCGCTGGGCTGCGCCCCTCCGGCTCCTTCATCCTCAGGCTGTGCTGCTCCTCCTCCTCTTCCATCTCTCTCTTCTCCCTCCGTCTCTGCAGAGGTTTGTGCCCTGTTTCCCTCCCTCTGCCCCCATGCTGTCCCCGGGAGGTGATGGGGATGCACGGGAAGGGGTGAGCTGCGGATGAGGCCGAGCAGCAGCCCAGGCTCTTGCCAGCCTGCGTAACTCTCGCTGCCCTGCCCTCTGCTTCACTGCCTGCCTGGCGCCCTGCCGCCTGCCTGGGCCCTGCCCAACCCGCGGTGCAGGGCAGGGGGTCTCTGTGCCCCTCTGGAACTTGCATTGGGTCTCGCTGGCCCCATGAGCAGCAAGGGGGTCCCAGAGCTGCCAGGACTCAGCCAGGGAGTGCACAGGGTCCCCAGGGGTCTGCAGGTCCCGTTCTGGAGGGGCACTGCAGTCACAGGCAGGGATACTCTGACCTCTCTATCTCTGTGCGTATGTCCCTCTCTCTGCATTTTGCCCTCCCTCATTTCTCACGCCGCGTCTCTCTCCAGATGGAGCAGCAGCTGCTGGGGGGCCCCGTGTGGCTCCCGGCTCTTGATTTAGAGAAGTGGTACCAGGAGGTCATGGCTGGCTTTGAGACCTCCTCCTCCTCTGTCTCTCCTCCTTCTTCCCCTCCTCCGCTTCCAGCTAAAGCTCACTCCTCTCACAAGCCTCTCCAGGTAATCCTGGCTCCCTGCCGCTGGGGCTCAGGCTTCGGGGCTGCCGGCCGCGGCAGGAGCGGGGCAGTGCAGAGATGCTCGAGCTGGCTCCACATCCTGGGTGCTGCCAGGCACCCAGCTGCCGCGGCGGGCAGGGGCAGAGCAGACCCACAGTGGGCAGAACGCCTGGGTCAGGCAGCCGCTGTCTCCTCTTGCCTGCACCCCCTGCCAAGAGGGCACCGACACAGGGGCAGGGTCTGGGGAGGGGATGCTCAGCCCCACCGACGGCTGAGCCATCCATCCAGGGGGGCTTTTGCAGCCCCCCGTGCCGCTCTCACCTCTCTGTCTCTGTGCCCAGGTCTATCGTGCCAAAACAGAGGGCGACGCTGGTGCCCTCACCCCTCGGATGAAGACCGTGACTCCCTCGTCCTCACAGCTCAACCTCTGCGTGCTGGGGCGCAGCCCCTCACCCAAGGTATGGCTGCTGGGGGGAGCTGGGTGTCGCACGGCCGTGGCCACCCCGGCCATGGCTCCTGCGTGCCCGGTGCTAGCCCCCGTCCCTGTCCCCACAGCTGACCACCTGCCGTCCTGCTCAGGGCCCACCGAGCCCGGTGGGCAGCCTGCCCCGCAACCTGGCGGCCACGCTGCAAGACATCGAGACTAAGCGCCAGCTGGCCCTGCAGCAGAAGGGTAAGCTCCGGCTCCATGTCCTGGCTCTGCGGGGTGGTGGGACTTTGGGAGATGCTTCCCCTGCTGCCACTCAGGCAATGGAGAAGGGAGCCCGGCCAAGGGCGGCAGCGGCGGTGGTCCGGCGGGATGCGTTGCCTCTCTCACGGTCTCTCGCTTTTCCCCCCTCTCTCCCTCCTTCTCCCTCCCAACCCCTCTGCCCGACGGCGTGTCTCCAGCCGAGCCGCTCCCAGCAGAGCCCTTGCAGCCGGGCGATCTACCAGGTAGAGACATGGGGCGGCTTGGACTGCCTAGAGCAGCCTGGAGGCAGCAGCATGGCTGTTTGCTGGCACCTTCTGCCATGCATAGGAGGGGCATGACCAGCCCAGGACCCCGCGTGCCTCTTGGCATCCGCTTAGGGACAACCCTGTGCATTCCTAACCTGCTAATGCTTTGTCCAGCCTGCTCCTGCCAGCCTGGCGCATGTGCCCCCTTGGCTGCCCGGGCCCCCTCCTCCTGCCCGGACAGATGCTGCTTGCCGCGCTCACTTGGGAGTGGTGTTGACGGCTCCCACCTCTGCCCCCACCATCCCTCCCCTGCTCCAGCAGCGCCTGCAGCATCTTCTCCTGCTTGCACCGTCGCCTCACCTGCCATGGTGCGGCTCTGAGCACGGCGCGCTTAGTCGTCATTGTCTTCTTCCCGTGGCGCAGGTCAGCAGGTGATTGAGGAGCAGAAGCGGCGGCTGGCAGAGCTGAAGCAGAAAGCGGCCGCCGAGGCTCAGTCCCAGTGGGAAGCCCTGCATGGGCAGCCCCCCTTCCCCGCTGCCTTCCCCCCACTCGTGCATCACTCCATCCTCCACCACCACCGTCCCCATGGCATCGGGCCCCGGGCCGAGGAGCTGGACCACGCGTACGACACCCTCAGCCTGGAGAGCTCAGACAGCATGGAGACGAGCATCTCCACGGGCAACAACTCTGCCTGCTCACCCGACAACATCTCCAGGTAACCCTGGGGCCAGCTCCCACGGCCAGAGGGACAGCCCGATCTGCTGGCCACGCTGCTGGCTCGAGGTCCTTCCCGCTGGGACGGCAGCTGCGGCTGTCTTGCAGTGCCAGCGGGATGGAGGCGGGGAAGATTGAGGAGATGGAGAAGATGCTGAAGGAGGCACACGTGGAGAAGTCACGGCTGATGGAGTCCCGGGTGAGCGGGGGTACCGGCACCACAGCCGGCTGGGGAGCGGGTCCCCGATCCCCAGGGCTGAGCGCCTGTGCGTGCCAGCAGGAG